AATTTGATAGTTATAGAAAAGCCCTTATTAAGTAACATGGAATGAGGCAATTTGGTGGACAAAAGGATGCCCCTCGTTGCTACGGGCGGCCGCTGAGGGCGATTCAAAGTTTCCAGTCGGCGGACATCGTCCGCGGCCGCCCTTACTGTACCAATTTATTGAATTTCATCCCATGTTTGAAGGATGACCACACGTTTATTGTTCTGTCGAGCATTGATTAGGGTGTAACATTGTTACAGATACAACGGCTCTACTTTTATAATATCCTTTGGACCCTACCTGAAATGCTTATTGATATATGTAAAACAGTATATCTCTAAACATATTTAGGTCTGATATACCCTTATAAACTTATTAAAAATAATCTTATTAATATTATAAATGCGAACGTTTAAATGGTTGGATGGATTGATTTTTGTTTGAAGGTATCTCCAAAACGGCTGAACGGATCCCGCTGAAATTTGTGATAGACATAGAACATAGACTGGAAGAACACATAGGTTACTAACTATATTTTTTTAATTGCGCGGACGGAGTCGCGGGTGGCAGCTAGTGTGTTTATTATCCAAGACAGTACATTTGCCAAGCGGTATTCATGGCAATAATTTAAAGTTTAGCTGAATATTGTGTCACTTTCTTGTTTCGTTTATAATTGTCACCATCGCATCTATAGAAAACAAATTATTAATCTGATGAACTGGTCAGTTGATTATACATACCGCATCTAATAAACACGTCAAATTCCTACCCTTAAAACAGTTGCAAAGAGAAAACCATCGCCTCTAGCAACACGACAATTTGTCTAGGGGGAGCTTTTCAATAATAATTCCGCGGTAAATTCGGTTTCTGACCGCGTCGGCCGAGGGATACTGAAAATTAACTATCCTATTGCTTTTTTGACAGCATTCCTGGAATAGTTTCCTTATAGGCTATTCGTTACTTTATAATGGAAAATTGTGTGTCCAAGAAACAGTCTTTATTTATAATTTTAACTATAAAACTATTAAATAACAGTTTATAACTTTTTCATGCTTATTACAAGGCAATGTACATTAAAATACCAAAAACTCATAACTGCTCCAATGCATTACACCAAAAACAGTACAATGAAAAAAACAGATATAATACGATGTACATTTTCATCGTGAGTAATTGAAAAAAAAATCTTCAGCAATCATAACAAACAAGCTAACAAAACAGCCATTACGCGACCTCATCACTTATATCGCTGTCTTGAGTTATAACGTTGGCCAAGCGACAGATTGCTAACATTACAATAACAAATCGCCCTAGACATGGTGTCGGAAAGGTGGATGAACCTTGCTATAACTAAATCAGTTATAGAACATTGTTGCATTGAGTAGCCAATGTAATAACGACTACTATAACCTGGTCGCACTGGGTTATACCTCACCGTAGACGCAATATTAATAGAAAATATTAACCATAAGATAATCCAAGTCGTTCTTCTCAGATTTATAAATATTTGTGCATTATATCTCCTTTTTAAGTCAGATTTCTTATTATTTTTTTGCGTATACATAAACATCGTGATGCAACCTACACATATCTGAGAAGTAATTCAAAGATATGTGTGAAGTCAACCAAAAAGGCACTTGGCCAGCGTGGTTGACTATGCCCTAATCATCTTGAACTTAGGGTAGGCTCCGAGCCCCTCGGTGGGGACGTTTAGTGAGCTGATGATGATGATGATGATATACATAAACGTGTGCTCTCACATGATTCGCTGTAAGTGGTAACAAATTAGAACGATTTTAGTGCCTTTTAAAATAACAAATGATACTTGATGTTTGTACGTACTTGAATAATGTAAAAAATTGTATATTATTTTAAGTCATGTTGACTAAATAATCATCCGAATCTAAATGGAGACAAACAAACAGCGGATTCCTTATTACTATAGACATACATTAAAAAAAATAAACAAAAATTATTAGCCTCACGTCAGTCGAACAAAAACCTGTAAGATATTTGTCAGCATTTGTTATTTCTATTTCTAAATATTACATAAAGTTCTAAGTAATACATAAGTGTGTCTTCGTTCTTAAGTTAAAAAAGCAACATAATAAGCTAAAAGCAGATCACGTGTATTCAAAGCGACGTCTCTAGGGAGAGTAGTATAATTTTATTTTCATCTCTATTTACTGCGAAGGCTCTTATTCCTTTGTTGCGCCTCGAATAGTCCTCATTTCGTGCAGCGTCTGTTTTAATTAGTACAAGGAGCGTACTTATAGTTCGTCGGGGCAACTCACAACTAGCACTAAGTGCCCGGCGCTGCGATAGTCTCTTGTTTACATACCTAATTACAGGTGATATAAATACAACGCAAACTTTTAATTAGAAACATTCTGATCCCGTGTACTTCTCCTGTTTACTAAAGTTATTTGTATTCGAAGCTATAAGAATTGATTGCAAATAGATTGTTTGAAAAACTCTTAAAAAAAAAATTGAGTTATTGAAATAAAAAGTTCAACGAAACAAGATTAAATTTAAGGCTCTTTTGCCTAATCTTTGTTATTAAAACACTTGCTATCGCCCGCGACTCCATCCCAGCGGAATAAAAAATCAACTTTATTAGTAGCCCATGTGTTCTTCCAGACTATGCTCTACATTTATGCCAAATTTCAACAAGATCTATGCTGCTGTTCTGGAGATACCTTCATACAAACATACATCCATCAAACATTCGCATTTATAATATTAGTAAGGAAAGAAGTGAGATGTAATTTATTTAGTATCTTTACTGAAATAATTGAAAATAAAGAAGAACAAAAACAGATTTTTAATAAAAAAATAATTTAATTAAAAATCCTTTGACATGAATGTGGAACGTCAATTAATTCACTCGACTTTACTAACTCCTCACGAACCTTTGACTTCGTGGAATCTATTGAGAGGAGCCACGGATTTCCATCAAATTAAGCTCCATCCGGGCACAACTATTTATAAAGATTCTGCGCTACGAAGGGTGTTTCTATTCACTGAGTGAAATTTGACGTGTGAGACCTTGTTCATACATTTGAATGAAACGTTTTATAAGAAAATCTATTGTGTGGAATCGAAAGGCGGAATAACCACTTCATAATCTTATTCCATACATTTTTTAAAGACATTCCATTCTTGCATACAGAAAATATATCTTCTAATAAATTCAAAGATACGTGTGTAGTCAACCATTCCACACTAAGCCAGCGTGGTTGACTATGTCACCCCTAATATAAGGTAGGTTCCGAGCACCTTATTGGAAACGTATAGTGAGCTGATGATGAACATTCATTTTGCTTTAATTGCTTTTATTTCAGTCACCACTGTGCAGAAAATATTTTGTATCTATTCCTAAAACTAAAGGAAAGTCACTTAAAACGTTTCAAAGAAATTAAGTAAATGGATATACCATTACACTGGACACTACTGAACTGGCCTAGAAACCTATTTGCATTTTTGCTTTTATATAAGAAAGGAAATAGTGCTATTTTTCTGAAGACATCTTTCGTATTGTAAGTCAATCTAAACTACAATCGAAAACGTATACGTTCATTTATAAAGATTCGGAAATCATTTCATAAATGAATACAATTTAAAAACAAATGTGACCCCATTTGAATGTACGTTCCACATGATTGAATTCGGGGGATCGAATCGACTGGGAAGTAATACTTACAAACATATTTTTTTCTTCGCGTGATTGCATTTTTTGGGCTTTGTTACATTTCTTGAAAAACTTAAACAATCTTACTAATATTGCAAATGCGATGAATGGATGCATGTTGAAATTTGGCATAGATGTAGAACATAGTCGTAGACCGAGTCGCAGCCGACAACTGGTCTCTAATAAAGTAAACTTAATCCAAAATACTTAGATGTTAAAAGCGATATAAAAATTAAAAAAAAATACATACCATAAACAATTTTCTATCAATGTCAACACATTTTATGTATTAAATTCTAATATTGCATTAAATTCTAAAGAAATAAGAATATGCAAATAAGTACGAAAACAATCTTGATACTTGCATTAGCGTGGAGTATATGACATGCTCTCATAGGATTAATGCTTACATTAGACATGCATCAAAGAACCTCAAACAGCATTGTATAACAGCCCTCCTGCGATTTAACTACGAACAATACAGCAAATTATAAGTCACAAGAGCTCTCGCTCCTTGACCTATTTACGTCAATATTAAATTACAAATCCCATGAATGTATGGGAACAGTAAACGTTGCTAATTTGTGCCTTAGAAACATTATTATAAAGCTCAAAGCACGAGTTTCACTCAGATTGACTGATCACTGTGTAATTTCTGTTATATTTGCGTGGTTAAGTAGAGATCCGCAGACCCGATTTATTAGTATATTCTATTTTACAAGAATCCAAATAGAAATATAAATGAATGTCTATTAATTTCATTATTACTCTTTTGTTTTTATTAATTTCGTCTTGTATTTAATAATCTACGATTATTGATGACGCATATATTTACGTGGGCAGGCCTCCCACAAGATGGACCGATGACCTGGTCAAGATTGCGGGAGCGACCTGGATGCAGGTAGCACAGGACCGTTCATCGTGGCGATCTTTGGGGGAGGCCTATGCCCAGCAGTGGGCGACTTACGGCTGAGAAAGAAGAAGAAGATATATTTAGTTAATCATTCTATATAATTGTACTTTAGACAGTAAATAATTGTGGATGAGGCCTAAGATATTTAAGATTAATAATAAAAATACTTTATTCAATCTTAAACAATATATTCGTGTAGCAAAATTATCGAAGCTTAATACAATTATTTATTTAAAAGTTCTTTATGACAAAAACTGATTTTCATTTCCCACGTCACATTATTCAAACGAATGCCTTTAATATTTCCCCTTGCCTATAATTATCGGGTATAATTCTTTATAAGTATATGTCCCTTTTATCTATTCCTTTAAAACATTTGATTCAACACAGACGTTTCCTTATATTACTTTTACCATCATGTCTCATATGTCTTTGAATATACGACAACCAATTTTAAACGAACTTGAGTTTTTACGTACAATTGGTTCTAAAATATTTCTCTTCCCTTTCATAGGAAGAACAAAGTACCAAATATTTGGATTTTACACAATTAAATTATTAGTAATATGCACTACGGCTCAGTTATTTCTAACATTATGCCACACGGGCTTTAGAGATATCTTTGAAATTATTAATATTGCACCAAATTTAGGCGTATGCGCAATATCCGCTATAAAATATACGAAAATCCATACAAATAGAATATTATACGATGAAATATTTTGTCATTTTAAAGATGAATTATGGGATATTGTGTCGATCCATTCAAATGCACATATCAAAGTGTTGAAGAAATATAAATTTATATCAATGATTGTTAATAGATTCATATTTTATTATTCAATTCCACTTATAATAGTCGTCAATTCATTTCCATATCTTGTAATGACGTATGAGAATAGGGTGCTCGGTGAAGATTTGCATTACCTTTATCCCTTTGACGGCTGGTATCCTTTTGACAAAGTGAAGTGGTACTGGGGCGCATATATATGGGAAAGTACTATGACTGCCCTCGTTGTTTGTGTTTATTTATTCTCAAACATGATGCAAGCCACTTATATTTTATTCATTTGTATGGAGTTAAAAATCTTAGGACATAGTCTAGAAGAATTAATCAGTACAGAGGACGTGACAACATTAAAAAAGGGAAGACATTTGAACGATATTCACAAAACAGTTTTATATCAGCTGAAAATAATTATTAGAAGACACCATCGTCTTGCAACGTTAAGTTTTTTTTTAATTAAAATTTAGCTTTATAATAATATGAGTATCTAACATTACGTGTTTTGTTTTTTTTGCAGGATATCCGCATCTCTCGACAAAGTTTTAGGTGATGCAATGTTACTTAATTATTCTCTAGGAGCGATATTTATTTGCCTTACTGCATACACATTTACGGTAAGTTTTAACGATAATTAAAACTACTATTAAATTTAACAAGATTTTACAACTAAATTCTGTTAATAACGAAGACAATTATACGAGTATGTTAGAAATGAAAACACATATAATTTGTTTTGCTTTAAATTCCTAGAAAACTTACCATGGTTTTCTGATACCAAAATATCCGTTTAAAACATAATGTTATCTCTGTATTGATAAAGATAATGAAAGGGATGACGATATGTTTTTTTCATATATGTAGGTCTCGGAAACCAACGGTAAAACTTGAGCAATCAGTCAATGCTTTGATCCAAATAAATGCCAATCAAAATTTTTTTTTATTTTTTTTATGTCATAAGATGGCAAACGAGCGAGCGGCCACCTGAAATCGCTAATATAGCGAAGTGACCGTTGCCCATAGACATATGCAATTGCATATGCGTTGCCTACCTTTAATCGACGGAGGAGGATGCACAGAAAGAAAATATTTTTTCCTTTCCATGCATCCTCTCACCCGGAAAGTCCCCTTCCACTTCCCATCCTATCCTTATAAGAAAAAGGGTGGGAAGGGAAAGAGGACTAAATTAGGCCTCCGGGACGCACACTCATCAGACGAAACGCGGATTTGCTTCCACTTCACGCCTGTCTTCTATGTGGTCGTGGTATTTCACCGGGCGAGCCAGGCCAATTCATGGGAAGATGTTAAAGCGGGCTATACCACTGTTGAAAATATAGTTTTGTATTGTTATAAATCATATTTCAGGTAGTAGAAGACTTTTATCAGTCTGTGCGTTACTTCTCCTTCTTTATGTCATTACTCGTTGAGAGTTTTAATCAATGCATAGTTGGGCAAGTATTAAGTGACCACGTAAGTATATATACATTACTATTTTTGGGCGTTTGATCCGAAATTACAGATGGCTGGACTTGAAATATTTCACACGAACAGTGTGTTCGCGGCAATTCGTCGATGCGCTGAGCGCCTACAAATTTGTTAAGAGCAATATTTTAGAACCACTCGTTTAGTACCCACACAAACCAAGATTTTGTTAATCCTAATTTGAATTTTTAACCAATCTAAAAGTATGTACTCGTTGAACGCTCGCTGAATACACACCTCTTTCCTCTCTGGCAAAAATATTTTAATTTCCGGAGTTTTCGACCTAATAACTTTCACACAATGCTTTGACAATGGATTTTTACGATTACATTTAATACAGTGAATTTTACACGAAGGTGGAAAGTTTTCAGAGTCAAAATATACTTTATTTCAGAGTGAAGACTTGACTGAGTCGATCTACTCAGCAGACTGGCCGAATGCAAGCCAAGAGGTGAAGAAAATCATGCTAATGTTCATGATGCGGACTCAGAAACCGTTCAAGCTAACGGCTAATGGTTACCTCGTCATGAATCTTAACACATTTAGTGCTGTAAGTCAACAAAGACCACTTCGATATTATCGTACAGAGATTGTCAATTTTTTTTTACAAAAAAATAAATTTCATTTCAGATATGCAGCACTTCTTATCAATTCTTCAATTTGTTACGCACAGTTTACCCTTAGCTTATAATATTGTATATTTATAATTTGTGAAAATAAAGAAGTAAAGTCTAAAGTGTTTTTTTCCTTACTTTTAACACATTAAGAAATAATGGAATAGTAACACATTTACATGTAATAAATAAATATATTTACAAACCATATTTTTTTTATAATTTTTTTCTTATTAAGTCTATATTTATCAGGACAAATATTGTCTCTAGTTTATAAAAATGTAAACATAGCTGCCAGTTATTGTATAGAAAAAGAAAAATCCTATGAAAATATGGCTACCGAAAAGAACATACCTCCCGTGACGAACTTATCTCACAATTTGAATTGAGTATTTTTAAGAAACCGTATGCAAAATAGATATTTTTTTACATTATTGCATAGAAAAAAATCTTCGTTGCTCCATCGATGACGTCACTGACTCCTGGAAAAGTATTTATTCTCGAAAAAAAATTACTAAAGGAATGTAGATGTGTAACTTTTGTAACTAACATATTGAACAATTCTATTTGCTACAATAATCAAAGATTTACTGTAAAATTAATGTTAATTATAAAATTCAGATTACATTTATTACTATCACGATTGAATCGCACGTCTCATAATCGTGATGAAGTAATAAATATTATCGTAATTTAATAACATATTATGTTTTTAATTACTTTTGTACAACATATAAATTAATGCACTTGCGAAAAACATCAAACTTGTAGCCCGAAAATGGGGCTTAAGATTTATACGATACTACTTTTTATACTAGTTTTCAGTTCTGCTATTTTAGCGACTGGTGAAAGTCAAATCGAGCCACGTAAGTACCTTTATACTATTTATAAGAATTAAGAATAATTTAAAAAAAAATCTCCTAACAAATATGTAAGGTAACCCAATTGAAAGACCCTCACGAACGTCATTTTTAACTTTCCGTGAATAAGAAAAAACATGAGGACATATATAATATAAATGAATTGTTTGCATTTAATTTTTATATTTATAAACCAAACAGGCGGAGTGGCAAGCGATATCGCTATCAAAAATTAAAATCTTTTTTGGAACGTAAATTGTCACAACATTTTTATTTAGATTATATTGTAAATATTTATTTTAAACATTCAAGTCGTATTTTTTGCTTTACATATACGCATAACAGTGTTAAGACATACTTTATTATTTCAGCGACCACTGTTAACAAAGGAACAAGTGGTCCTGTGGCAACAAGTAAGTATAGTTTTGTTGCTTAAAGAACTTTAATAATTTTTTAATATATTATGTATTATAAAGGGAATTTTCTTAAATCTTTTCAAAGATGGTGATTCGGAATCTGAATCGTACGAAGACTCAAGTTCGAGCGAAAGTGATGAATATGATTCCTACGAAGACTCAGGGTCCGATGAAGATAACGGCCAAGTAGGAGCTACAGGTGAGACATAACATTGTATAAAGAATAGCGCCATCTATCGAAAAGAGTTGCTATCACGCTTGAAAATTACAACGACACTTATAATATCTGTATTAAAGATTTATTATTATTCATTTATTAACCTTATTCTTAATATATTACAATTCAAAATTATACAAAATATATTATATTAAAAATAGAGCACCACCGGCTGCGGAGTCCCATGACTCAAGCAACCAGTGGTCAGCGCGTCAGAGACAGGAACCTTCTCACGATGCGGTTTCTAGGATAACTGCCTTTTGTATCGGGCCCTTAATCCAACTGTTAAGCGAGAGCTTCTTGAGATGTTGGTCGAAACTCTTCGCTATCAGTCCTTGTTATTATTGTATTAGGAAATTGTACCTTAATCTAAATTTATTACAATAAATACGAGTATGTTATTATATAATACGCTATACTTTAAATTAATTAATTTATTATTCATGTATAAACAGCCGTATCTGCAGTAAGCGCAGTTTCCAATGGTGAGTTACAAATAATAAATGTAAGATTTTAACTATATTTATATAATAATAAGATTAATATTCCTTCTAAACAAAACTAAAGATATCTAAAGAAAATAATAAATCATCTCTATTTGTCTCATTTTTATCTAACTTACAGAATTTATGTCTAGAAACTTTTTCGCTGACTTAGCTAAATATTTGTAGCTTGACTTTTTAAAATCTGCTATATTTTCCGATTTTTTTATAACATAAAGATCGTAAATTGCGCAATTACTTTACAGGTGGTAAGGGAACAGATAGCAGTGCTTCTGCTATAAGCGCAGTACAAGGTAAATCTACACGTACATTTTTTTCTTAACACTTATTAAAAGTTAAAAAAAAATATCATCATCATTACGAAGTAAATCTTACCAAAATTGTAAATGCGAATATTTAGATGGATGGATGTTTGTTTGATAGTATCTCCAGAACTATAAAACGGATCTCGATGAAATTTGGCATACAAATAGAACAAAGTATGGAAGAGCACATATACTACTAATTGTGTTTCTTATTACACGGTCGGAGTCGCGGGTGACAGCTAGTCAATAATAAATAATCTTAGTTTTCGCTCATTATACAATATATTTGAAACTTGTTCATGAAACACATTTTATTGTCACTGTCAGCTACTGAAAATGGTCGAGGTGGAACAAGCAGTGCTTCCGCTATAGGTGCAGCGCAAGGTACATTTTTTTAATAACTATTTTTTTTTTTTTAGTTTTAATAATCAAAAATGTAGCTTAAGACTTTACGTAGTAATGCTATAGTTTCAATAATTCAAAATATTTTAAGAAATTAATACTGTGTTATTTACCTTTAAACTTTCATCTATTTATAGCAACTGAAAATGGCCTCGGCGGTAGGAGCAGTGCTTCTGTTCTTAATGCTGTCCATGGTGAATATTATAAAACTTATAACTATAACATGCTTAACACGTTTAACCAATATTATTATTAAAAAACAAATTATACTATTCATGTCTTTCATGAATTATAAAATATTATAATGTTTCCTATTAAATTATAAATTATATAATATTACAGCATCTCAAAATGGCCGGGACGGATCGAGCAGCGCTTTTAGTCTTGGCTCGGCACAAGGTGATTTTAACTTTATATTCTTAATGTAAACACATATATATTACAGTTTTGCATACAAAGATAAGCATTCATTGGTATTGACTCAAAATAACCGGAACAAAATGAGTATTTTTTTTAGAAAATTAATTAAGTTCAATCCAAATTGAATGTTTTAGTTAATACTAACAAAAGAATGCAGAAATCATAATAATACTATTCCATTCGATTAGTATTCATCTCCGGTATTAGAGGCATAGGCAATAGAGATTTCTTTTTTAAATTCAATTAGCCACTGCATCAATACACATTGTTATAAATGTCTGGAGATCTTTATTTACAAAGACAATGTTCTATTTATCAAACCATTTTTTGTATTACATAAGTAAATATTATCGATTTCGTTACCACCATTTGTTACAGCGAGTGAAGATGGCGGTAGAGGAAATGGCATGGCGTCGGTCTTAAACGGAGTACAAGGTTTGTAAAATTTACAATTATTGTGCAATTTCAATTATTAATTTAATTATTTTTACTTTAAGAAACAACTCATACTTCTAAAAACGTTCCACACGTCTTGTGATGAATAGTGCGTTCTTTATATTTTTAATAACTCATAAGTTTAGCTTGATATGTTTTGTTTTATACATACTTTACATTAACTAATTAACTTAAAAAAAATTAACTTCTTCAATGAATATAAATTATTTTACACATCCACAAACTTTTATATTACAGCAAGTACAAACGGCAAAGATGGTACAAGCATGGCATCATCTTTTGGTGCAGCACAAGGTGATTGTTACTTCTTACTAATATTATAAACGCGAATGTATGGATGGATCGATGGAGGCCTGTTTGAAGATATCTCCGGAACGGATCAACCGAACTCGCTGAAATTTGGCATAAATGTGGAGCATATTCTGGAGGAACACATAGGCTACTTCTTTTCGGGGGCTAAAGCTATTATTGTCATAACTTCATTTATTTAAGTCTTTATAAACATTCTAATCTACACGCTAGAAATGAATTACGGGGTTTCAAACAGATGCTTACTAGGAATCTATAAAAAAATCATCGAAAAGATCAAAATTAAAAATAGTTAATGAACTAAGATCCCCTTTCCAAGAAGTAATTAGTCACACTATGATTCTCTTTTAGCTAGTGAAAACGGCAATAGAGGATTAGCAAGTGCTACTGTTATGAATGCAGCTCAAGGTAAAAAACAACTCTTAATTATTTGAATCGGATCAAAAATCTTAACTTCTTTCTTCGCGTTCCATTTTGTAGAAATTAACACAAGACACAACGGTTTTAATTTATTCCGCAAACAGAATACAGTATATTTAAATTAAAATATGTCTCTGTCGTACTGAATGTTTTTGTCATTTTAGACTAAAGCCTAATATAAATTTAAATCTTAATAGAGATCTTCAGTAATTCTTTTTTATTTACATTTTGCAGTGGTTGAAAATGGCCACGGCCATTCTGGCAGTGCTTCGGCTATTGGTGGAGCACAAGGTAAATCTAACTGCAACCTTTTATTCTGTTTTATATAATAAGTTAAATGGTAACGTGACAAGTAAAACGTATGATTTATTAGACGATCTCAAAAAGGCACGAATGGAACAAAATTTTTCGATATATACATTTAGTAGAAACAGCAAAACTTATCGTTTAATATTCTCTATTATTATGTAAACAATTGTAGAGTAAATGTTTGCAATTATTCTTTGTATGTTATATTTTTGTTAATAAATAAAATAAAAATAAATGTTGCAGCAATAGAAAACGGCCGAGGCGCATCAGCGTCTGCTGCAGGTGGGGCAATAGGTAATTATAAATTGTTTTATATTTTTTTAATTATAACTATACCAATGTCTATGTACTCGGCAGAAGCTGCCTTTTATAACCTCATACCTACTTTTCGCATTTAGCTCTCTCAGTAGATAACTAATAAAAATACTTTACTGTGTACTTTTATAGCTACTGAAAATGGCCGAAGCGGGTCTGGCGGCGCTTCTAGTGTTAGCACAGCGCAAGGTAAATATAACATTTGTGTTTGTAGCAAACGAGCCAACTAATATTAATATAACCGGTGGCCTTACAAAAAGCTAAAGATTTATTAATTTGTGACCACCTGTAACGTTTATTTCTTACTAATATTATAAATGCGTAAGTTTATATGGATGTTTGTTAAAAGGTTTCTTTCAAATGGATGCTTGGCTATCGCTAAAGTTTGGCATAGATGTAGAACGTAGTCTTAAAGAACACATATTTATTATAATAACTTTTTTTAATTCGCGTAAGTCGAGCCACGGGCAAGAGCTAGTTTCCATTAACCTCATTATCTATACCTTTTTTACTATCATCTTAAGATAAATAAAACTTAAATTTTATTTTAATTAAAAAAAAAAACTTAATGTGTTTATATCAATTTGGATGTATCAAACTTAAATTGTATCTTCGACACCTCATTCGTTGGGTGAAAGACAGAATTTGCGAGAACGGAGATAGGTTTTGATTTTATAATCATCTAGGTCCTAGATCTAGACCGTGTTTTTATGCGATTAATTGATAAATATTTAGGTTATAGAAATATTTATTAACTCACGCATTTTCTGTCGACAAGATTAAAATGAATTGGTTATTATAAGTTTATGCACATTTTGAATGTCTTTATTTCCAGCAATCGAAAATGGACGAACAGGATCAAGCAGTGCTACCAGTATAAGTACAGCTCAAGGTGCTTATTATTTATTTATTTAATTATTATTTTATAATATTTATTTAGTAATGCTGGGAAGAAAATCCGACACTGTGCTAGGATAACGGCGCAACACTAGCCTTATTAAAATATCAACGTATATGTTCCCTTCTGTTCACCGGTATGACACTTGACTTGGTAACGAAAGCGCGCCATTCGTTCTAAATTATTTTTACTAATAATTTCTAAAAGTATTATACATTAAAATCAAATACATTAAAAATATCATTCTGATTATGTATATCATTCTAAACAAACAAAACATTATGTAAATGTTCCAATTCTGACATTGATACAAAATATGGATGTAAAAACTTTCCAGCGACTAACAACGCCTTTGGAGGGATCGTCGATCTGGGTTTTGCCAAATCTTTCGCTCAAGGTGAGAATCTTTCTAAAAAAAAGTGTCTTGACAGACAGGCGGACGGACAACAAAGTGATCCTATAAGTATTCCGTTTTTTCCTATGAGGTATGGAACCTTAATAACTAAGGTGTAAAATTTTTTATTACATTAAATAGTTCTTAAATTAATTTCTAAACAGCTAATATTATTGAATATTTTTGTATGTTTTTTAGAAGACATCTATTAGATCATATCAAACGTACTATAAAATAATTTCTTGTTTCAGGCACAGCATCTGCTATTAGCTCATCATCTGCTTCTGCATTTACAAGTGCTCACACTACTGGTATAATCTCATAGTTAAAAGTTGTTTCGTATTGTAATAAATTAATAAAAATTATACAGGAATCATAAAGTAACTGTAACAAAGAAATGTAATCATCAAGTAAGTGGAAAAAGCTTGTATATGAAAACAATATTAAAAGAATGATTCTTCTTTCACAGTAACTTCTCAAAGAAATGGAACCGGAACGCGACACAAGAAAAAGCGACACCACAAAAAGAAAAAACATAAAGGTCATAAAAGACCAGGCAGCTCCGGTAGTACACCTGGTACTTCAGGGCCCGGTGGTCATAAAGGACCAACAGGACCTCCTGGTTCTCCCGGTGCTTCTGGTCCAAGTACTCCTGGATCTAAAGGATCAGGAGGCGGCAATGGTCCGAGTGAAAGTTCCGGTAGTTCACCAGGTACTTCAGGGCCCGGTGGAAATACGGGACCTCCTGGGCCTCCCGGACCTCCTGGTTCTCCTGGGCCTAGCAACCCTGGTTCTAAAGGACCAGCCGGTGGTAATAGTCCAGGCACAAGCCCGGGTAACACACCAGGTACTTCAGGACCGGGTGGAAATAAGGGACCAACGGGACCACCTGGCCCACCTGGGCCTCCTGGTTACCCTGGGCCTAGCAAGCCTGGGTCTAATGGACCAGGCGGTAATAAGGGTCCGGGCGAAAGCCCCGGTAAACAACCAGGTACTTCAGGACCGGGTGGAAATAAGGGACCAACGGGACCACCTGGCCCACCTAGGCCTCCTGGTTATCCTGGGCCTAGCAAGCCCGGGTCTAATGGACCAGGCGGTAATAAGGGTCCTGGCGAAAGCCCCGGTAAACAACCAGGTACTTCAGGACCGGGTGGAAATAAGGGACCAACGGGCCCACCTGGCCCACCTGGGCCTCCTGGTTATCCTGGGCCTAGCAACCCTGGATCTAAAGGACCAGGCGGTAGTAAGGGTCCGGGTGAAAGCCCCGGTAAACAACCAGGTACTTCAGGACCGGGTGGAAATAAGGGACCAACGGGACCTTCTGGTGCTCCTGGGCCAAGCACTCCTGGATCTGAAGGACCAGGCGCTAATAAGGGTCCGGGTGAAAGCCCCGGTAAGCAACCAGGTACTTCAGGACCGGGTGGAAATAAGGGACCAACGGGACCCTCTGGGCCTCCTGGTGCTCCCGGGCCTAGCACACCTGGATCTGAAGGACCAGGCGGTAATAAGGGTCCAAGTTCAAGCCCCGGTAACACACCAGGTACTTCAGGACCGGGTGGCAATAAGGGACCAACGGGACCACCTGGCCCACCTGGGCCTCCTGGTTATCCTGGGCCTAGCAAGCCTGGGTCTAATGGACCAGGCGGTAGTAAGGGTCCGGGTGAAAGCCCCGGTAAGCAACCAGGTACTTCAGGACCGGGTGGAAATAAGGGACCAACGGGACCTTCTAGTGCTCCTGGGCCAAGTACTCCTGGATCTAAAGGACCAGGAGGTAGTAAAGCTCCTGGTGGAAGCCCTGGTAAACAACCAGGCACTTCAGGGCCCGGTGGTCATAAAGGACCAACAGGACCTCCTGGTGCTCCTGGCCCTAGCACCCCTGGTTCTAAAGGACCAGGCGGTAATAAGGGTCCGGGTGAAAGCCCCGGAAAGCAACCGGGTACTTCAGGACCGGGTGAAAATAAGGAACCAACAGGACCTCCTGGGCCTCCTGGTGCTCCAGGGCCTAGCACACCTGGATCTGAAGGACCCGGCGGTAATAAAGGTCCGGGTGAAAGCCCCGGTGAGCAACCAGGTACTGCAGGACCGGGTGGAAATAAGGGACCAACGGGACCTTCTAGTGCTCCTGGGCCAAGTACTCCTGGATCTAAAGGACCAGGAGGTAGTAAAGCTCCTGGTGGAAGCCCTGGTAAACAACCAGGCACTTCAGGGCCCGGTGGTCATAAAGGACCAACAGGACCTCCTGGTGCTCCTGGCCCTAGCACGCCTGGAGCGAAAGGACCGGGAGGTGGTAAGGTTCCAGGTGGAAGCCCTGGTAAACAACCCGGCACTTCAGGGCCCGGTGGTCATAAAGGACCAACAGGACCTCCTGGTGCTCCTGGCCCTAGCACCCCTGGTTCTAA